GGGGGTGGTTGCGCCGGCTGCGGTCTGCTCCTCTTGCGGTTTTGCGCCGGGCGGCTTTTCTGCTCTCGGGCTGATTCTGTGCGCGGTGTGTTTCGTTGCGCGCTGTTGGCATCGGTCTTGGTGGGGTGGGGCTGCGCTTTTGGCCGGGGGGGCGTTTTGGGGGGGGTCCCGCGGCGCTCGTGGCCGGTTCGCGGCGGATGCGCATGGGCCCCGGCCGGGGGCGGGGCCGTCTTAGTGTTTTCCTGGGTGGTGCGGTCGCGGTGGGTGTTGCGGCCGGTCGCCGGGGCTTGGTGCTGGGGGGCGGGGCGTGTTTCGGTGCTCTGTGGGGCTGGGGCGTTTCGGTCGGCGCCGTGGGGGGGCTGGTGTTCGGCGCCCGGCCCTACTTCGGGGTGGCCGGCTGCCGGCGGGGCCCGCGGACTCGTCCCCGCGGCTCCCCGGGGCGCCGGCATGGCGGTGGCTGGGGGGCTTCCTCGTGGCTGTCTCTCCTCCTGCCTTGGTGGGGTCTGATTTCCGGGGCTGGCCCCGCCTTGGTGCCTTCGCTTCTGGGGTCCCCTTGGGCGCCTGGGGCTTTGGGTCTCCCGGCGCTGGACTCAGTGCTCTGGGGGGTGTGCCTCTCCGGCTCTCCACAACCACTATTGAGCATTTTTTTCTATGGTTAAAACTTTACATGCACAAGTTCACCCTCACAAACAACTACAGGTGCTAGGCTTCAGGTACTTAGAGATTCACTTCCAAACAGTAACCCCACATTCATATCTTCAGGTAACACAGAGTACATGTCAGACTTAATAATATTACTTTAGTGATAGTTTCAAGGTGTTTGCTTTATTGTATATCTCGTACCATGTTTTTTGGTTGTGCTGTTCTTTTTTCTTTTTTTTTTTTTTTTTCTCCATCTCATTACAGGTGTTGAAGCAGACTGAAAATGTTTTGTCATTGTCTCCTTCCTATCTCCTCTTTCTTTCATCTTTTGTCCTGTTTTTTTCTTTTTCTTTTTCCTTCTTCTTCTTCTGTTTTTCTGCTCTACTTACATTGCAGTGTCCATATGAACTGTAAAACTCCCTGCATAATTATAATAAAGCAATTTATATACATGAAACAAGTGGAGCGGTATGGCAATTGCGATACCGCTACACTTGTGAAAGTAAAATCTGTTGGGCTCCTTTTGGCATCAAGACAATTATTCTTATTGCCACCTTGCCAGACAGGACACTGTAAAAAAAAAAAAAAAAAAAAAAAAAAAAAAAAAGAAAACAAATGTGCTTTATCAGATAAAGAGCGATGTTTTAATTTTCCAACCAGTGGCATTAGTATAAAATCTGATCAAATATGTTCTTTTAAAATCCAGTTTTCTGTCTGCTAGTATTTTTATTCTGACTTTGCTTTCAGCTGCTTGTAACTGCTGAGTTTACATTTATAGCAGTCATGTGACCACTATCCGTCATGGCAGGTTCTCCATCTTGTTCAGTGTTTCCTGCTTGCGCTGGGCGTCCATCCACATTTTTGCTTTAAATGTTCGCAAAATAACGATTAAGCCGGTGGTGTTTTTATGTTGAATATTTTCAGCAATTAACTATAAATCTTTAAATTTCGAGTTTAAAGCTCCTGGCAGAATATTTCATTTTAGTGTATTTATTTTGTACCCATATTACTAAAGATTAATGTTCTGTTAACTCCTGAAAGTATTCTTTTCAATAATCTAGTACTTCCTACGTTTAATACTATTCAAGAATACTTTTCATTTTTAAAGGAGAGGGTCAAATTAATATTGTCCAAATGCTCACTCCTTGCAATGCTTTACCTTATTTATGAATGAGGCAAAACTGCATAGATCTTTAGATCATTTAGGATCTAAATACTTTTCTACAGAGATATATTTTTCCAGACCGAATTTTTCCCACCAAATACATCAGAGTAGTTGATGTATGTTTTAATAACTTATCATTAGGTAGATTGTAATACATTTGAATATTATGGAAAAGTTAATATAAATTCACACTTTTTATTATAAATTACTTAAACACATTAATACATTTTGATTTGTTAATCCATTTAATTTAGATGATTGGTACCTATGTAACGAAAACTTCTGGCCGAAAATTGACAGAAAAGTGCATTTTTCGGCCGATAGACATTTAACACCGAAACAACACAGCACAACATCTGACAAATGGAACATCCAGCACAGGAGGAAAAGGATCGCAAGCAAACAGCACAGCCAGCACACAGAAACATTGTCAGGCGTGCAAAGTAAACACTAAAGCAGAGCACAGGTAGCGGAGTAGAGTTTATCAATTGAGCGTGCGGCAGACAAATGCTACAGATTAGTATCACTGCTCGCTCAGGGCAGTGGTATAAAATGCCATAGCAATCCAAACGTTGGCATCAGCATTCTGAATATGAAAAGAATGCGACACAGAAAGGAAACTGACATCGAACATGGCCACTCCATCTCTGGAGGACGTGTTTTAAAAGCAAAGGACTTAACAAAAATATGTCAGTGGGGAATAAATATTTTGATACTTTTGTTATTGATTTTTTGAAATGCCTTGAGTTAGAAAAATTTTTTTAAGTACACGTCAGAGCCAAAAATGCTACGGTTCTAATATTTGATCTACTTTTTTTGGTTTTCGTTTTTTCAGCCTTGGTTTTTCAGATTTTTGTTTTCGGTTTCAGCCAAGAGTTTTCATTTTGGTGCAGCTCTAATGATTTTGGCTTACAAATAACGAAAATCCAAAATTTTTCTACAAATGAGGATTTTCCGATGAGCATTATACATTTTTATTGCATACATTTTGTATGTTATGTAATATTCATGAGTTACACAGGTTATACACTCATACATGTTTGGATTTCCTTTTGCATAAACAACTTCATCAATGGAGCTTTTAGGAAAATTGGCCTGTAGTCCTGCTGAGATGTTCATGGAGATCATGGAGGCCACCGGCTCAGCTGCTTTGATTGCTCTGTCTGAACGATACTCCAGAGTCTTTAGGGATTTCGGTCAGGTCAGTTTGTTAGCAAATCTAGAACAGTAATACAGATATGAGTAAAGCAACTATCAGTACATTGGGAGTTTGGGAAGGTGTGCTTTCCTGAAGCCTGGCTGCAGAGGGAAGCATGGAGGTTCTCCGAGGTTCCTTGGTAGAGTCCTGTGCTAACCTTGATCTACATAAACCTCTTAAGACCAACAACAACAGATCATATGCCTCCCTAAAGTATCACTCACTATGAAAACCTTCCACTGAACACAATGGACCTTGGATTCTCTGCCTCTCCACTCATGCTAGAGTTTGGAACCTTGATTATTCAAATTATATTAGTTTAATATTGAAAAAAAAAAATCCTTTTGTTTGTTTAGATCAAGGGTGGGCAATTCCAGTTCCTTGGGGCCGGTATCCTTCAACTTTTAGATGTGCCTTTTGTATAACACACCTGAATCGAGTAATTAGTTGATTGAGAGGACTTGTGAGAAACTGACTCCATACTGAGGAGGTAACTCAGCCATTTGCTTCAGGTGTGTTTGATAAAGGAAGGATGTAAAACTTTCAGGATACCGGCCCTTTAGGAACTGGAATTGCCCACCCCTGGTTTAGATACTTTGTGTACCTTCTCTAGTTCAGGAGTAGCTTCACACAAAGAACTGTGACCCATTTCCTAGATGTTTTTGTTTAATGTTGCTCCTGAGGCATTGGTCCCAGCTCCATGCCTCACCAGTCCCCCCTAAACCCTTGAATAGGCTTTGGATGCACTCCCCTGTGTTGCATGCACATTATAGCACACATTTTCCTTCCTCTCAGCTGTCTGTTATTATGCTTTAATTCTACCTCACATATTTTACTCCATGACTGTTTTAGCCACAACAAAATCATTTAAAATCCCCTCTTATTGGTCTATATGTGAAGTAAAAACACAGAAAACAAGAATAACATTTTTTTTATTAGATGTGAGCCATAATCATACAAATTAGAGTTAAAGCTCGCTAAATACCCTCTGTGCTCTTTTTATATAATCTTTATAATGTGTGACTTTAAATTAACTTACTGAAATAAACAAGCTTTTAAATTAGATTACAATATACGGATTTACACTCTTCCATTTAGGCATTATAAAGCCTTTTTGGGAATTTGTTAAACATTAATCTGATTAAATGCTATAAAGGATTCATATTTTTATTTGTGTTTATGCATTTCCTTTTGAAAATATTAAAATTAGATATGACTGGACAAAGGTATCTATTTGCATTGAATGGTACCTTGGGAACCAATGCGTTTATCTAGTCTTTGCAAGATTTAATGGAGGAAATGGATGTTGATAGAAACCGAAAACTTATACAGCTGTAGTGGACAGTTAGATATTTTATCATTGAAATGTTATTTAAACTATACCCTAATCTTTTATTATCTTGGTTTTCTATAACAGGGGAAAACTGAAAAACAACAACAGCACCACAAAAAAGCTCACATATTTAAATAGTTTGATTTGCTTTAGCCTGCCTCCAAGTGGCGACGACGCATCCTTATATGCAGGAAGCATTTGCATTTTAGACTGCATTTCTTTCTAATAAGCAAAGCAGATAAAGCTCAATTTGAAAAAAAAAAAAAACAGAATGAAACCTAAGAAAGACTGGTTTACCTTCAACTCTCCTAAAACATTTAGAGAATAACATTAGCGTAAAAATGCTGCATTTATTACTGCTTTAGAAAATCACTCTCATTAGCTCTGCTAGCTCTGATTCTTGTTTATATTGGGAAAACATGTTTCTATCCCTTAGTTACTTTCTGGGCGGTAATGTACATTTCAGAGACCAGGCTGGCATGATTTTCACTTTCATTTCTAACCAGCAGACAATGCAGAAAAGAAGGGCCTAGTAGAGTAAGATGTGAACCCAATGATGACTTTAGATGTGCACATCTGTCAGTTAGTGTGGGGACTATAATAAAGTAGTCAGCCAGCACAATCTGGGTTCAGTCAACCTGGTCTCCTCATCTTCCTGATAGGCTTGGGTAACTACCCTCAGGACCCCTCTGCCTACGGACCAACGCGTCCTTCTCACAGTTATGGTCAGGATGAGCAGGGAGGATGTAGTGCAGGTAGGTGCCAGCATTGTCTTCTCCAACCACAAAAAGAAGCATTTGTTCACTAGAGTTTTTTTTTTTACAGAGCTGCAGCTTAATTGTTTGCCTCTTTCTCTCTCTGTAGTATTTTGCATGTACATTTTGCATGTACATACAAATTACTGTGTTTGCTCTTGTATAGTTAAGCACGGCTATCGTGCAGATCACAGCTGACTGAATTTGAAAGAAATTTACATTGAATTGGGCCGTCTAGCTCAAAGCAGTGGCTGGGGTTTGACTATACCAAGACTAACATGTCCTCCTTTTTGTTGACTGTCTGCATTGCTTTGCTGATTTCTAAAAGGATGATCTAATTGTCAGAGAATTTGTTCATGGTTCAGTTGTCTCTATGCGTCAGCAGTCCGTTCACCCATCGTTTTTTTCCCCCTCCATCTACTGTCTCTAATTATAGCTAAAGGGGTGAGAAAGGAAAGAAGATTTAAAGGAGACCACGGTACCAGTAAATTAGAGTTTCTGACAGATTCTTCTCTCTGGTCCTGTTGGGATCCCTCACTCTTACAAAAAAATGTTTTTTTTTTTTTTTCTAGCTGTGCATTTTTGATTCTCTTTTCTCTCTTGTCTTTCCACTCCAGTTGTGTAGCTCTCTTTAGGTGGCTTATTTTTGGAAATGTATTATTACCTTCAATCTTGTTTGTCACTGGATGCTGCCAGTACAGGAAAATATCCAACCATCAACTAAAGTCTTTCAGATCAGGCCACCAATTGGGGAACAAAACCTGACATTCATGCAGTGATCTGAATCGTCTCCTCAGGGAGATTGGTTTCCTTTCTTAGTTGTTCCTGTGTTTCCCTCATGTTTTTGCAGGGAAATGGTGCCATCCAGTGCCTAAATCAATTATAGTGTGTTATGCTTATAATGCAGGATCCGCAAAATATTTTAGATCCACTTTAAAGTTCAGAAGTTTTGACATTAATTAGTTTGTTAAATAATTACAGTTTTTGAAACTGGGGAAAAATCCACCTGAAACTCTACAAACGACTATCAAAAAAAAGTTTGAGATTTTTTTTGTTTTTTCAATAAAAAAATAAATGGCTTTTATATATTACACAAATAAAAAAAAGTATACAATAGAAAAACAAATGATTTTTAAATGACAAAGATAGAAAAAGTCCCAATAATGATAATACCTACAGCACTGGAAAAAAGGTATTAACTTCTTTTAGATTTCTTCTTTTTTTTTTTACAGGTTTTTTTTTGTATTTTACATTAAAAGGCTCCAAATCCTCAAACGTGTTTGCCATAAGTTAGACATAAATAATGTAAAGACCTTAAAACTGGCTGGACCATTCTAAGGAGCAACAACTGTTATTAAAGGGGAACGCCGTTTTTTTTTTTTTTTACTTTGGGCCCTTGATTTTATGTAATTACATCATGTTCTACTCACCTATATGAGTTTTGTGTTATTTGGAGCTGTTCTGATGATATTTGGTTAGGTTATATCCAAGTAACGTCTTCCTATGGGCAAACAACTTGAAGGCACAAACTAAACTGTTCATAATTTATCATTTATGGTACACCAGCATTTATAACATCACTGTACCCCAGACATCCGCGGTTATATTTTTTTATATTTCTATTTTTTTTCTATGTTATAAATTCTGGTGTACCATAAATGATAAATTATGAACAGTTTAGTTTGTGCCTTCAAGTCGTTTGCCCATAGGAAGACGTTACTTGGATATAACCTAACAGAATATCTTCAGAACAGCTCCAAATTACACAAAACTCATATGGGTGAGTAGAACACGATGTAATAACGTCAAATCAAGGGCCCAATGTAAAAAAAGAAAAAAAAAGAAATTCCCCTTAAAGCTTCAGAGGGTAACGTCTGTTTTTGTTTTTTTTCCCTTCAATCATTTTTGTTCTCTTTTCAGGCTTGTTTTCATTCATCTGAGTTCAATTATTTTGAGGGCAAACAACCTTGTTTAAGAAAACACCTGATGTGCAGACATTATTTGTTTGACTCCAGAATTATTTTCTTCTGCTTAATAAGCCACATATTAGTTCATTGATTAAGAAATTCTGTTAGATTCCCATCAGATACAACTTTTTTACCTCCTTCCACTTTTCTCCCGTTAACTTAATCTTTAGTTATTGGCATACTTTTTAACAAATGGCATTTGGGTTTGGAGAAAATGCTTGGGAAGGCATAGCTCCAAGTTTCTCTGGTTAACTTTTTCCTTCAAAAAGTGAAATTGTCATTTGAGGACTTTTTTGGCATCTCCTGACATAACAGTTGTCTAAATGGCCAGTATTTGTAAGGGGAGAGCCTAAACGTAAAACTTGCTGATATGTTTCATTTTGTGATTGAGTGGTCAACGGGTTTCTGTGGGTCAATAAAAGTCATTAAATTATTATTTTTTAAACTAAGGCCTTAATTGGCTAGCCTGGGTGCCAGTCAGAACTTAGTCCCGCCCACAAGGTTTGAGTTCGGGGAAGTTCGGTCTGGCTCTGCTCCATAGTAGCGCGAGTATTATCGCCCACTGTCAGGCGATCCAATCAAATTGTCAGGGCGGACTTTATACGAAGATGGACAGATGATCAAGAGTAGCGTAATCAACCACGTGACCAAAGCGCGCTAGGGTGACAACAATAATGGCTGCCGCTGGAGAGTTTGGGTGAGTAGATTCTGCTATTAGGTCTGTTCTAGAAGATATCGACAGCAAATTAATTTTAAAAGAGGAACAGAGAAACGCGATCAAGTCTCATCTTCTTATTCTAGGCGTGAAACTGCACGCTTTGATTTTTGTGGACAACAACTATGCCTCGCTTAACATACGTCACGCACTCCGTTGCTCTTATTGGTTGTAGATCTATCCAATTGAGTGCAGAGGCATTTTTTTACCTGGTTCGTTCGAAACACGCCCCATAATCACAGCTCTATGGAGCAGTATCAGACTCATATTCTGACTAGAATTGAGTCGGACTACGTCAGGCTATTAATTGGCATCAAAATCCATTAAATGTGATCCATTAAATAGTGGCATTTAAAATTCTTTATTAAAAAAAGAAAAGTTTATATAAACAATTTTATCAGATATATTGTAATATATTTGCGCGTAACTGCTTCCGGTTGATCGTAGAACCTTTTGTTGGGAAAAGAAGCTCGAGTCAGAGAAAAAGCTAGGGAATGGGAAAAATGCAAATTTCAACAAAAACGTTTGGGAAACGAGGAATTCGGGACATGGCTGCAGCCTTTCAACGTGTACTTGTTGATGGCATTAAAATTATTTCTAAGAGCATTAAAAAGCATTAAATTAGAGTTACTCATTCCTGTAATAAACCCTAGGTCAGAAAGTTAGTCAATCTCAGAAGCAGTGTGTGGGAAAACAATTATAACCACCTTTAGGTTCCATTTGTTACTTTTCTCCTCTGCAACATAAAGGTCATTGTCAACAAAACTAAAATATAGAAATAAAACCTTGTTGACCGTATGTCCTGGAGGGGTTATAGAGTATTTTTTAGATTTACTCTTACTCTGTGCTAAAGTGGGTTTATTTGACTTTAAGGCAGATGAAAAAGGTAAGGTAAAAATGACTCGTGGCATATCAACATTAAAGATGTATGGTAGCTGTCAAACAGGGTGGCAGAGGAGTGATACATTTGGCTAGATTTGCTGTCAGAAAATCCTCTGCATTTTCCAGTTGTTCTGTTGAACATAGGTTTCTCTGATGCAAGATCATTCTCTTCTATAGCTTGACCCAAATAGAGTTACACAGCAGAACCTTTATCACAAGCATTTCTGTAAATCTACAGCTTTGATAAACTCTTTGATAAAGACTAAGCAAAAGGCAATTGCTCAAAGTCCAGATCTCAACATGCTTGCGCTTCAGTAATTTTATTTAAATATTTCTTATTTAAAGCTGTAATCTGTAACTTTTTGTTATTTAGAGTAATAAAAAAATGCCAACAAATTACTTTCTGACCATATTCCATGATGTAAAGTAGGTAATCCATAATCTTTTACTGCATTCTGGTTTTACAGCGAAACAGTTCTGAGATAGCCTAAAACTTGGAGGTTGTAGCAGTGGCTGTCAATCAACCCATATGCACCGCAGCGTGCAAGCAGGGGGTCACCTGCCTCACTCAGCTGATTCCTTCGCTTTGAGCCAAACATGAAGAGTCTTTGTTATAAATGGATTGTAATATAATCTAGTTTGAAGCTTAATGCTAATGTCACTGCTGAGTCCAGTGTGGTGCTAGCTTAAATAGTGACTACAGTTACATTAGCTGTAATTGTAACATCTGTGAAAGATTAGGGACTGAATAAAGGGGGATTAATCACACAGTATATTTAATATAGGCTAATTTAGTAATATAGTGTTAAATCTAAATTGATCTTTGCATGAATGCTAGTATAGAATTCAAAGCTTTCAGCTCCCTCAGAAATAGGTTGGGGGGGCTAAAGTGGTTAGTGTTTAAAATCTTCTCTCTCTCTACTAAAAAAGTTTAATAATCACAGAACCATTCTGCAGTGGAGAGCTGGCTGCAATTTCCTTTCCTGTCCTTTAACTTCTGGAAGCACCTCTTATGAAATGTCAATTAGAGAAAATTGTCTAGGAAAGAATTTTATCGTAAGTGACTTTTTTATATAAACACATCTTATTTACACATTTCTGAATAAATGTGCACATATGTTTGTGTACAAATGTGGGAAAGAGCAGTTTATATTGGTGTAGAACAGATACTAATGGGTCAGGAACCATCCGTTGGTCATTCATCTCCTGTGATTTACAACAAGAGCTTAAAAGGAGCATTATTCCAATTTCCATTTATGTATAAAGAAAAACAAGACTTTTGTGATTAAATCCCAATTAGAGGGCCAGTTTTTATGTAGTGAATATCATGTTTATAAAACATTGTAATTAATTAAAAATTCTAAATATTTAAAAGATGAGATCCACTTATCATAAAGTGCCTTGAGATGACATGTGTTGTGTATTTGGCGCTATATAAATAAACTGAATTGAATTGAATTGAACTTAGACCATAAGGCATATAAAGAGATAGTTCATTAAGCTGATGTAGTGTTATTCGAAGTTGGCCACATTTCCTTAACACTAACAAACACCTTCTAGTTAGTGCTAAGGATGTAAATTCTCCTAAGTGTTGAGTTAGATGTTTTCTTCACACCATGTTTATGCATTTTGGCCCAATTCTGTTAAATTGGTTGTACTGTTAATAATATGGAATGTTCAACTAAAGTAATATTGAACTGCTAACCAATCGCCCAGACTAAGCTTGTAAAAAGTGCTTTTACAGGAGTTAAAATTGGATATAAACATGCAAAAATCAACAAACATCTGAAGGTGCAAAACCATTGTGTAGTTTGGTTAGAAATGGTATTTGCGTAATGTTAAAAACATATTTCCTAGAATTACGAAATTGAAACACTTAAAACCATAATTAGGATATATAATGAAATCCAAATGCTAAAATTGAGGTTAATAGTTATAAACATTTAAGGCATCCTGATTAGACCTTTCAGAATTAATAAAATAATGAATTACATGATAAAAAATCGATTACATTATAAATATAAATAATCGTAATAAATTATGTTTAGATGCTGGTTTATTTTCCTTTAGTTTGGATGACAAAATGTTTCAACGTAGTTCATTGGTCTCAACCCCTCATTGTTCGTTTCCTTAGCATAGCCAGTGTAGCATGAGACTCGTTGCTGAGGAGTAGCAAGACATAGAAAGGCTCGCTGAGATTCATAAAAATCAATGGAAACTGAATCTGACAGCTGTAGTTTGGCAGAACTTTGGATTCACACCAAATGAAAATATGATAATTTATCCAAATAATTAATGGGACAATTTATCGTCCAGCAAAAGTTTATAGTAACAGTCCTGATTATAATCTTAGAAAACTTTGCCAGGCCATAGATTTTAATTTTAAATCGGAGCAGTAGAAGGCCTGAGGCTTTAAAGGGTTTATAAAGGGACTCTGATAAAACTGGGACTAAAATCATTCATCTTTTAGAGGAGGCTGAAAAACATTATGTTCTAAATTAAACAGTGGAATTAAAACAGTTTTTGTTTCCTTTTTTAAACATATTTTTTTACTTCCAACAGAACCAGGGATCAAAATAACTGTAAGAGGGGAGTGGTGGATTTTTCCTTAATGTTTCTTTATTTCTATAAGAGTTTTAGAGGAGTTCTAACATCCTCCAGGATCTCACATGTTGACGTCCCTCTTCCTGCTGTGTCTTTAGGCTACGGTCAGGACCTGACGGCCTTTGGCCACAACTTTGCAGATCCTAGCCAGACGGCCGCCACGTATGGAGCTCCTACAGCACAGCCTGCTGCTGCCCCTCAACCCACGGCGAGCGCTTTCGGCAGAGGGCAGAACCACAACGTACAGGGCTTCCACCCCTATCGACGCTGACCACCGTCCAATTGTGGTCCATGGTGTAAAGTTCAGAAACTACAAAAAAAAAAAAAAAAAAAAGTCAGGGAAATAAGTGTTCTTGCTCAAATGAAATACTGGATTGTTTGTTAGGAATGTTGAATTACCACAGTTTGAAAAAGAAATCTTTTATGAAAACAGGGATTCCAGAAAATTTTAAAGGTAAAAAAAAGTTTTTCTTTTATGTTTTGCATAATTTAAAAAAATATTGAGCATAAAGAAACTTTTGCTTTTTTCTCCCTCACCTTCCCCCACACTCGTTTTATAGTAGACCTAAACTACGCAATAATTTTGATTGTCTGGTGAAACACTAGCACAGAGACTTATATGTAAAGAGACTCGCATTTGAATATGTATATTTATGGTGGACGCAAATGGAAAAAAAAAAAAAAAAAAACAGGGTTTAAATTTTTCTCAGCTTTAAATTTTAGGGGAAAAAATGTTTTTATTTTTCATTTGGTGAATTTTTTTGTTTACTTTCTGAGCCTTTAAAGTTTGTTTAAAGATGAGAGTATGAATATATATATAATATATATATATATATATATATTATACACAAACTGTGCAATTTTTAAAAAAAAAAGAGTTTTGTACTTTAAATGTACACTTTGCTTGTTTTTTTATTTAAAGATGTAGACTTCCCTCAGGTGGCTGTTTTGGGTGCATTTTTTGCACTTATGCAAAAAGGAGAAATTATTACAAAAATAAATGTTTTAAGATTATAGTGAGTGTTCTCATTTGTCTGGATGAAATAACTTCATGTTATTTGAGGACTAATGTAAATGATGATTGAAAACCGCGGCTTTGTGCTGCCCCTCGGGCTGCTGGGGGGGGGTGGTTGCGCCGGCTGCGGTCTGCTCCTCTTGCGGTTTTGCGCCGGGCGGCTTTTCTGCTCTCGGGCTGATTCTGTGCGCGGTGTGTTTCGTTGCGCGCTGTTGGCATCGGTCTTGGTGGGGTGGGGCTGCGCTTTTGGCCGGGGGGGCGTTTTGGGGGGGGTCCCGCGGCGCTCGTGGCCGGTTCGCGGCGGATGCGCATGGGCCCCGGCCGGGGGCGGGGCCGTCTTAGTGTTTTCCTGGGTGTTGCGGCCGGTCGCCGGGGCTTGGTGCTGGGGGGCGGGGCGTGTTTCGGTGCTCTGTGGGGCTGGGGCGTTTCGGTCGGCGCCGTGGGGGGGCTGGTGTTCGGCGCCCGGCCCTACTTCGGGGTGGCCGGCTGCCGGCGGGGCCCGCGGACTCGTCCCCGCGGCTCCCCGGGGCGCCGGCATGGCGGTGGCTGGGGGGCTTCCTCGTGGCTGTCTCTCCTCCTGCCTTGGTGGGGTCTGATTTCCGGGGCTGGCCCCGCCTTGGTGCCTTCGCTTCTGGGGTCCCCTTGGGCGCCTGGGGCTTTGGGTCTCCCGGCGCTGGACTCAGTGCTCTGGGGGGTGTGCCTCTCCGGCTCTCCACAACCACTATTGAGCATTTTTTTCTATGGTTAAAACTTTACATGCACAAGTTCACCCTCACAAACAACTACAGGTGCTAGGCTTCAGGTACTTAGAGATTCACTTCCAAACAGAAACCCCACATTCATATCTTCAGGTAACACAGAGTACATGTCAGACTTAATAATATTACTTTAGTGATAGTTTCAAGGTGTTTGCTTTATTGTATATCTCGTACCATGTTTTTTGGTTGTGCTGTTCTTTTTTCTTTTTTTTTTTTTTTTTTTTCTCCATCTCATTACAGGTGTTGAAGCAGACTGAAAATGTTTTGTCATTGTCTCCTTCCTATCTCCTCTTTCTTTCATCTTCTGTCCTGTTTTCTTTTTCCTTCTTCTGTTTTTCTGCTCTACTTACATTGCAGTGTCCATATGAACTGTAAAACTCCCTGCATAATTATAATAAAGCAATTTATATACATGAAACAAGTGGAGCGGTATGGCAATTGCGATACCGCTACACTTGTGAAAGTAAAATCTGTTGGGCTCCTTTTGGCATCAAGACAATTATTCTTATTGCCACCTTGCCAGACAGGACACTGTAAAAAAAAAAAGAAAAAAAAAAAGAAAAAAAAAAAAAAAAGAAAACCGCTTTTAATGATCAACTGACATTTAGCTGCAGTTTTTGTTTTTTAATTCAATTTTTAAATCGTTTTTGTAGTTACTTCCTTATTGGTGATTTATGAAACATAGCTCAGGGGTTCTGACATGGAAATGCCTCCAGCTGAGAATCTGCACACGTTTAGGGAAGGAAAATATGTAAAAAATACTTTGAATTTTAAACTTTTCAATATATATTTTAGCACAACTATTGGTACCCTTAATATCTTTACAGCAAAATTACCTGAAGATTCTGCATGTTGTGGAGCCGGCCGTAACAGTGGATGCCTTAACAAATATTGCGTGGTTGACTGAAAAGATATTGGTGCCGTGGAAAACCAGCAGTAACCCAAATGATTTGGAAGTGTGCTCGGACTGCTGAGGTATCATCGTTGAGACAAAAGTCAACAAATTAAATTTGATGACTTTTGCCTCCAAGTTTGGGAACTACATTTCTCTTGCAGCAAGTTACATCTAGTATTAATTGAAAATTTTAATTATTTCTATCATTGGATTAAAGTCTAACTCTGATTGCATAGAGTTTCTGGGATGTAATGGAAATGGTACAAGATCAGTGAAGGATGTTAAAAAAATATATATATTTATGTTAGTGAGTCCTCCATTATGGCATTGCAACAGGCAGCTCTTAAGTCGTCACAAATGTTCTTAAAAGTTCAGCCCCCAAAATGATGATGCGCTGTGCTTTCATTACAGAAGGTGTAAAAATGAGTTTTTCTCATGTTCCATAAAGTTATTTTTAAAGTGTTTTTTCTAACCATAAACCAAGATTAGTTATGTTTAATTTAGCATTCAAACCATTATTTTTTCTACAGTAGGTATTTATAACTTTTTTTCTTCATGCATTAAAGCAGGCATCCCCAACCTCGGTCCTCGAGGACCGCTGTCCTGCAGGTTTTAGAGGTTTCCTTACTCCAGCACAGCTGATTTTAAATGAAAGCTGATTAACAGGCTTTTGGTCTACTGCAATCATTATAATGAGCTGTGCTAAACTAGACTCTAGGGTCTGTTTAGGGCCATCATGCCTCATCCTGACGAGCTTTAAGGCCACGCTGCCTGCTTTCCCCTAACTTTAAGAAATCACTGTACTCAATTGGTCGCCATCTGCCCAAAAACTAAAAGATAAGGGCAGGATGAGAGATGCCAGAACAAACATTAGGACTCTCTGGATTGATGTCAGCTTAAAGGAGTGTTTGAGTTTATAAGTAAACAGCAAAAACTGAACTGAATTAGAATTACCTTTGATTTGGTCTTTGTCTGTTTTGATCATTTTCAGACTGATGTCCTAGTTTTAATTTGTGTTTAAATATGTGTACAGATCAACACCACGTAATAAAAAAAATATAGGTGTTAAAAAATAAGTATTTTTAACATAATTTAAGCAGGCCTGTGGTAGCTGTATTTTTTCTTTCTTTATGGAAAAAGTTTATGTATTTCTTAAAGGCTGGCATTGGGCAAACATTTCCGGGTTAAAGGTCACAGCGTCTCTTTCCGCGTTGCTCACATACTAGCATTAAATGCTACCTGCTCCTCGGAAAGTTCCCCACCTCATCGGTTTATTCAGATTCAGACCATCGATTGGACCGCAACACTCAAACCGAGAGGAGGAGGTAGACTTTCCTGGTCTCTAGGCTGAAAGTGTAAGCTGCAACAAACCTTTTAAATAATTTTTCTTTAGCTGCTGTTTAGTGTTGCGCTAGCTAGCTTGAAGTCAACGGCTGGCAACAGTGACTGGTCGAAACCGAAAATTACAGTAAAAACAGCGGGTTTAATCAAAGTTCATCGTGTTTTATTGACAGAAAACCTTCAAACAGATGTTATCTGTCAGACAATAAGTCGCTTCAACATTTATCAGCAGGTGGAACTGAGTTTGTGTTTCTGCTGAGACTTTTTTATGACATAACATTGACAGGCTAAAAACACCAACGTTCTCTAATGAAGAACTCTGATTTTATTTGTTCAAGTTATTCAGATTTAATACTCTTTATGACAAAGATGGGTTTACCTTAAATCAACCTTAAAATCACTCTAAGATTGTTTTTTGTTATGTTTTATGTGTACACAACCCTATAAGTAAATAAGAAAAAAATCAGTAACTCAAAACATTTACACACATTAATACGTTGTGATGATTAACATATTATTTCTGATTATGTAAAATACTAAGCAAATGTAGGTAAACTATAAAGGAGGTCATATAATCTTGTGAAATTTTGTTTTTCTGGAATCTGCCATTAAAATGAAGAAATTAAGTCATCCTAACCGACCTAAAAATCAAAAAGTGAATATATATTTAATATCTGAGTAAAGCAATGTAATGAAAGTCAGTTTTTATACACTAAATGCAAACCTGATTGTATATAAAATTTAAAACTATATATTGTTGGTCAGTGTCTTTTCTAGTGTAACCGATTATAAGTTTTTAGAATCCTTTTAAACTCATTTATCTGCAATTAAGCTTTTTTAAGGAAGTGATCTGATCATTTTTTGCTGATCTCTTTTCTTAAAGGGAAGCTGTATTAAAAAAAAAAGCCAGCCTCTGCATAATTTGCAATTCATGTAGGCCCCATGCTACACAAAAACATCCGACGAGACAAATCTTGCTCTACAATATAGAGTAACAGTGTAATATTTGCCACAGTTGTGACACAGACGTCAAACTTTAAGGTTTGAGAAGCTGACTCACACATGGTGAGAAATCAGAAGCAGCATTGGGAAGCATTTGACCTTAGTAACACAACAACATCACCTTTAACTGCTGTAAACATTCGGAAATGTTTGTTATCTTGGAGAAAATCTATGTTTACAGTTTTCCTGTCTTTTATCTTATTGATTTGCAGGTGATTAGATCCGGCTGAAGGTTGTTAAACAGTTAATGCACAAGGTAAAGAGGCTTAAAACTGACAACAATAAAGAGGACGGCCAGGAAAAGTAAGAGATCTCCATTAAAAATCATTTGTTTTTAGTATAGCAATGCCGATCAATTCAATATCATAAGGTTTGTTTTTAGTCTCCTGTATAACGTTTTCATTCCCACAGCATCAGAGAGGCACTGGCAGGCATGACAGGAGTGGATGAGCTCTCAGACAGCACAGAAGTCGTGGAGATGGAGGACGTGAACCCCACCCAGTTCCAGGTGGAGAAACACTCATGGGACGGCCTGCGGAAGATCATCCACAGCAGCCGCAAGAACACAGGAGTGGTCATTAACAAGGCGCCGCACGACTTCCAGTTCATTCAGAAAGATGAGGCCAGTCCACACTCGCACCGCATCTACTACCTTGGTAGGTAGTGACACCTAAGAGCGACCTTTTTAAATATGATGCACACACACACACACACACACAAAAAAGTTTATGCATAGTCTTGCATGTTTTTTCTTACAGGTTATCCTTGATCTTTGCTTCATTTAGATACTATAGACCCAAGAAACCTTTTTAACATTCATTAAAATCTTATTGGAAGCCAAAATGGGCTGGATTTGTAGGAAAACAGAGTATCCAGTCTGTATCTCTTTACAAGCTCGTCCCAAGGGTTGCAGAGTCTGTATTCTGTATAGTGCTCGAGAAAATGGGGAACATAATCAGAGACACAGGCTTTGTTGGCATTTTTCTGTAAGAAACAGGAAATTCTAAGGTTTATTAGAGTGCATTCAGATTGTTTGTGCCAGTCTGTCATGAATGCTTGAAAAAGTAAGTATTTCATTTTCACCTCCTAAAACACACGCATGCTCTTCATGGATTAAGTCAAACTTTATGGATAAAGCTTTTTAACCTAAAACAAGTGCTGTACATGTGATAAAAAATCTGAGATACAAATAAAAGCAGTAAGTCATAATAAACACAAAAACTGTAAAATAAAGGAAAAAAAGTCTGTGAAAGAACTGGCCTGTTAATGATCCTGTTTGGAACAGAAGTCAGAGTAAAATGAGGAGTTTTAAAAAGAGATTTAAATTACTAAAGGATTCTGGCCTCACAGGAAGAAGGAGATGGAGAGTTCGGGAACTGCAGCTGAAAATAGCTATTTGTTAAAGGTCGTCTACTAGTAAATATGCTTTTATGGGTCCAATAAAAAGGTCTTTCAGCAATTTGTGTTAATTTTCATTAGATTAGAGGTTTTCCATTTGAGTTAACTGGTCCAGAAATAGATCAGAACCATAGTATTAGAAATTATTTTGACAAATAATCTCAGGTTCAGAATAAATATTAGATTATAGCATCAGTAATTTGAGTATTGAAATGTAAAATATCAAGAAAAAAGTAATATGAGTTTATTAAGTAGTAAAGGATGGGAGGAGCTTAGGATTATACATTGGTATGAAATGTATAATCCTAAACTCTTTTTTTGTTTTTGTTTTTTGACGCTTAAAAAGCCTCCTGAAACATTTTATTTTAAATTAAAAACATTCTTTAAATTCCTGATGGTGAGCTTGATCTGTATTTTTTTGTTGTATTTGTATGTGTTTTTGTTTTTCATTATTGTTTTCACATTTTTGTCTTGCCAGGCCACTATGCTGTAATTAATTGTAAAAGGCTGTAAAAACCTACACAGAAGTTGTTTTTTTCCAGCAACAAAAACTTTTAACTGTTGTTCTTCACCATACTTTGCACTAGAGGCTTTCTAAAACAACTTTAGTGGAGTCACCTTTAGCTGAAGCTCATCTCATGCTAAATGACGGGTCTTCTGTGTCTTTTGTCACAGGCATGCCTTACGCCAGCAGAGAAAATGCTTTACTCTACTCAGATATTCCCAAGAAGATCCGCAAAGGTGCGCTGCTTGTTTTGTCCTGGAAACCAATGCTGGATCATTTTCAGGTGAGTGGAGGGTTTGGTTCTTCCTGGTTCTGATATTTTCTTTTTTCTGATCAACATTGATATCAAAAGACTTAAATGTATCAGATAATAAAACTAAATTTAAATCCGATAACCAGATTGAAAACTAAAGAAAATTTCCAAAAGATAAAAAAAAAAAAAGAATGTATCCAAACCTTTTCTCCCTTGGTTTAAAAAAACAACAAAAAACTGCCAATGCATCACTCTTTGACACAATAATGAAAGGCAGACACACTGGAGCACCTTAAGTGAAAATTAAGGCCAAGCTTTAACTAGGCCATTTTAAACCCTTTTTGTGTTTTGTAGTCATTCATTGGTTTACTTGCGGATGTCCTTTGGGCGATTCTGCAGCCTTATACCTTAACTAAGTTCAGCTTTCAGGTCATAACCCGGTGGACCAGCATTCTCAGGATTTCCTGGTAGAGAGCAGAATATGTGATCATGTAGAGGGAGTGGCGGCTTAGTGGTTGGGGCATTGCGCTTGGATCCAAGAGGTTCTGAGTTCAAGCTCCACTCCCACTGGCAGCCACTCTGGGTCCCTGAGTAAGACCCTTAACCCCCATTCTGCTCCCCAGGCACCTCACAGTGGCAGCCCACTGCTCCCCAAAGGGATGAATTAAATGCAGAGTGTGAATTTCATTGCTTTGTACTTGTGACAATGTAATGACATACAGTTGAATGCTGTTCTATTTATTCTATAGTTATGGTTTAATTCTACAGTTGAGATAAAAGAAAGCACACTCTTTTTAAATAGAGAAAAATGACAGCATCTGGTTGTTTTATTTCTATTTTGAGCCTGCTTCCGTGTTTCTGTGGTCATATTGACCCTTCCATTTGTTTTTCTTTCCCTTGGCAAAAACTTTTTGATCGGTCTTGTTCATCACGCTTTGTGTCCCGCTGTCACCTCTGACCCCAGGCCAGCCCTCACCACGGAGGCTTCTCCAGGGAGGAGGAACTGCTGCGAGAGAGGAAGCGTCTGGGTGTGTCCGGCATCACGGCTTATGATCACCACCAACCCAGCGGCCTCTTCCTGTTCCAGGCCAACAGCAGCCTGTACTACTGTCGGGACGGGGCCAACAACAGCTTTATTGTGAGTAAAGGACCACTGCGAAAGAATTTCATTATTCATGGGAATAATTTTGCTCTGCAAGAGTGGAGCATCCTTTATCCCAAGGTTAGGATTTAGAAATTGATTTTAGTTTTTTGGTCATAGAAAACAGGGTAGTAAAGAAAATGTGGGTTAATTATACCTGATCTCATCATTTCATTGATCAACAAAGAAATTAAGCATGTTGTTTTCATGAAATCATGCTTCCCTAGTCTTAGTTTGGTCATTTCTACTCGGCCCTCTGTATCAGCTAAACAGACAGGCACATTTTCCCATTTGTTAAGGTTATTCAACTTATTGAAACACCCGATAATGGATACAAACAGCATAAACAGCCACCTGGAGCAGCTTAACACATCAGAAAGAATACGTCACGCTCTCCTGCAACCTAAACCCAAACTCTAAATATGTTTTTTTAAAGCTAGTCCTTAGGATTTTTTTTTTTTTTCTGGTGACATTTTGGTGTATGTGCAACTGGAAAACCAAAAAAATTTATTTCTAATATTGTTCCTTTGATGTAGCCCTACATGCCAAACACTCACATGAGCCTTTTCTTTAACTGGTATCACCAAATCTAGGTTTATTATTAGATAGACACTGTTTTTTACAAGCTTGGCTTGAATTGTTTGGAAGATCTGCCAGGTTAATAGGACACTTGTTTGAAATTGCAAACACAAGCTGCTTAAAGCGCAGTTAATATAAGTTTTTTTTTATTTTTATCTTTTCTTCAATATCTTTAAAGCTTTTAGCTCACAAAAGCAATAATAATTTACTTGCCCAAAGTTCTGATATGTATAAAAAAAAACTTCCTGTATAAAAGTATGAGGTCAGATAAAGAACAAACATAATGGACACCCAAGCTAGGGCAAACACTGCAGTTTCTATGTTGGTTTATAATTTATTGTTTCATCCCCTGCGATGGACTGGCGACCTGTCCAGGGTGTAGCCCACCTCTCGCCCGTAGACAGCTGGAGATAGGCACCAGCACCCCTCGTGACCCCACTTGGGATGAAGCGTGTCAGAAAATGGATGGGTGGATGAATGTTTTATCCCGTTTGTCCAATGTATAGTAGATAGTAAAGGCAGAGTTATACTCAGAAACCAGGTCGTCTGCGCGTGTGTTGCAGTGAATGCATATGTGCCTCCGCCCCTTTAGCAGACACTCTGCTGGACCTCTCCAACATTTTAAAGTGACTGCAGACAGGAGGCCTCTGGTTGGTCAAATCTACATCCGCGCTACACTATGCGCATTTCCTTTTTGGTACCTTACCGGCTTGTTTTGTTTGTATGACCGCCATTGTGGAAAACGACTCATGGAGATGGACCAGCTAAAAGAGTGAGGTGTGCGAGATTGCTGGGACCCTTTTTCCACCTGGATCCCCACTATATTTTGCCCTCATGTCCCTCCATTATCGCACAAACATGTTCCTACTTCCTCACCACCTCGGCTTATCTAGCCCCACAGCTAGTTTGTGATTGTCCCTCTTGCGTTGTTGTGTGGGATAACATAGCACAGGCCACGCTTAAATACTGGGCATAAATCAAAAATATCTGTGACAAGCTCACTGAGACACACTGCTGCAGGAGAATAACCAGCCCCTAAGGATAATAGATGTTGTTAGAGCAGATTCTTGATAGAATAAGTTGCTCTCTATCCAGGAATTAAAAAGTCCTCTAAAATAAGCCTAATTATTCTCTAATGCCTCCTGGACGCCTCCCTGGTGAGGTGTTCCGGGCACGTCCCACCGAGGAGAGGCCCCGGGGAAGACCCAGGACACGCTGGAGAGACTATGTTTCTCGGCTGGCCTGGGAACGCCTTGGGGTTCCTCCTGAAGAGCTGGAAGAAGTGGCTGGGGAGAGGGAAGTCTGGGCCTCCCTTCTTAAGCTGCTGCCCCTGCGACCCGACCCCGGATAAGCGGAGGAAGATGGATGGATGGATGGATGGATATTCTCTGATTCACCACAGTAGGAATAACCTGCAGTGAAAGACTAAACAACAATTAATGTAACAAAATACTTTCTATTACCGAGTCAAATATTGTAACAGTCCAGGGAATCAGATAAGTCACACTGCCATGTTTTTACAGTGTAGTAGAGTAGCCGTCAATACTTTAATCAGATCCTGTTTGTAGCGTCACTAACATTCAGGTTGTCTACACTTGGTGATGTATTTTTTGCCTGAAAAGGCTCTTGAGGCTGATGCTACACAGTTGATATTAAAAACATGGTTAAAATGCAAATGTGTAATTCATTTAGCTCAGACACCATAGAAGAAAAATAAGTTGCATATAAATAACAGGGTAAAAAACACAGAAAGGGATGTTTAGAAGAGAGTAGAATAACTTTATTTTGATTAAGTCTGTAAAGGTCAGCTGATCATTTGTATTAACAATCAGTATATGTAAAAGGAAATATTACTAGTTAACAGAACAAGTTGATGAAAAAAATACAAGAGAAAAAAAATGCAGTGGCAGGTGGCTCATCCTTTTACCCTGAAGGTTTCCCTTTTATTTGCATATATGAGTCGAACAAAAAGGTCATTTCAGTCACCAGGGATAACTTCTGTTCTGGTTCTTTGTTCGCTGAAGCTGAAGCTTCTCCCACTGGAGGAATATCCTCACTACATCAGCAAATTGAGCAATTTGTCCTTGGATTTTTCCCCCCCCACATACTCCTTACAGTACATATTTGATCATAAACACTATAAATAGATTTTTAAGAGAACTATCAAAATAGACTTAGAAAACCTTTATTGTCAAATTGTCAAAAATATTTAAATTATTACAAAACACTAATTAATAATGATGGATATTTAATGATACGAATTGGATATATTGAGTTTTTTTACGCTGTATTGACTTTTTTTTACATTCTGTTTTATTATAACAATAATTGTTTGGTGGAAGAAAAGGTTCTGTGGTTTTAAATTATTTTTACTAATAAGAGTGGAATTAATACTTTAAAGAGCCACTCTCCTTTTTCTACTATTACAGCTGCAGGTTTTTTATTTCCACTTTCTTTTTTTTAAGGCCTTAAAAGCTTAAGGTTGATAAATTCTTTCCAAAATACCAACAAATATTAACGGCATGCACAGTTTATACATCTATGGTAGTGAAAAAGAAGTATTGCATCAAGGTTTTCCTCTGCAGTTGGATTATTGCCACAGTGGAATTAAGATGACAGTTGTTCTCTAGTATCTGCCTGCTATGTATAAATAGAGACAGAAATGTTTGAACCATAAAGACTGATTCTTTGTCCAATAATTGCCCTGTTGACAGTTTCTCCTACCTAAGCTGTGAATCTATAAAGCTCCTCCAGAGTCACTATGGTTCTCTGCTGCTTCTCTGCTTAGTAATGTTCTCCTAATAATCAGGGTCTGTCTTTTATTTGGTTGTAAAGATTGAGACTCTTTTTTTTTTTTTTTTTTTTTTTTTTAAGGCTATCGCTGATTGGTGGGATTCTTTAGGTCAATATTACATTCTCTTCTATTTACATGATAAAAGGAAACAATGATTAGAAATGTTGTTCAAGTCTCGATTTAAACAAAAGGAAAACCTTTAAGAAATTAAAAGACATTAGAACAGGGAAAAAATGCACGTGTAAATTGTTCAACACGTGCACCAAAACATGAAATAAAGATTAATATAAGCTGTTGATGTATTGTTCTGTCTGTGGTTAGGTGAACAGCTAATCCTGATAGATTAGCAGATATGTTTTGCTGTTATACATTATAAATATAGAGAAGTCCAAGGGAAAAGGCTTAATGAGGAGGATTCAGACTCGTTCTATTTTTTTATTGGTATTTGTTTAGATCAAGTTTAAATGTTTGATACTTTGATTATTTTTCCAGACTTCACCTATGAATCCAACAGAGATCAAGAGCCAGAATTCAGGAACACGCATGGACCCCAAAATCTGCCCTGGGGACCCGAACTTCATTGGTTTTATCAACAACAACGATATTTGGGTGACAAATATAGAGACCGGAGAGGAGCAGAGACTCACATTCTGCCATAAAGGTCTTGACTGGATCAGGTGTACATTTGGTGCTTAAACACCATTTTTTTTTTTTTTTTTTTTTTGCTTTTTACTGTTTGAGTAAAAAAGAAAAATGTTTCAATGTTTTTATGGCAGGCAGTGAAAACCCTAAAGATGACCCTAAATCAGCTGGTGTCGCCACGTTCGTCACTCAGGAGGAGTTTGATCGCTTCACTGGATACTGGTGGTCTCCTGCTGCTCGTAAAGGTAAATGTCATCCTTATTTGGTTTGGTTTTATTTTATGTATTTACTCATTAAAGTGTTTTAATGTTTTGACAATGGTGATTATATTCATGTTCTCGATTAATTCTTTTGATTTTTGGCATTTTGACATTTTTGGGTAGAAGGAGTTTTCCATTTTTAGTCAAAACTGCTTCTCAGTGGGAAAACAATATATTAGAAAAGTGAAATTATATCAGTTAATCATAAAAAAAGGCAGTAAAGATGTATCAAACACACCAAGCTATAATTCAAGCATTCATTCCTGTTAAGTTTTCTAGTCAGAGGCACTTTATCCTGGAGCCATTTTCAACAATATGCAGATCAGTGGGTTATTTGGGTCAAGTTTGCTTTGTCCAGGAGCAAGAAGCTAGGAATGAACTGCCTACTTACAGTTAGCAAGATGGCTATCAAGTCAGCAGTCTCTACTTCACTGTTGGCCGTAACAACACATCCATGTATGAAAAGCCTTTTTTTTTTCATTATTGTAATATTATTATCATCATTGGCCTTGTGTAAAATTCAAATTCAGAAGTAACTGTAAGTAATAATAATTGAAATAGCCTTTAGTAAATACAGTCATGGAAAAAACTTATTAGGCAACCTTTTTTTTTCCAAATGCAGTACTTAAATATTATCTCCTGTGAACATTATGTAATTAAAACATACAGAAAAGGAAGTAAAGTCTAAGATTTATTGATTTAAAAAAAAAAGACCATTTGATTTTGCTGAGCAAGCAAGGATTCAAAGAAAACGTGGGTGGTCTAATAAGCAATATATGTAGTAGTTTAAATTTTTGCGTTTAAATTCTGTAATAATTTGCTTGGTTATTGATACTCTAATTTACTATGATGTACTATTCAAAATGTTATATTTCAGAACCAGATGGTGGTAAGACTCTGCAGATCCTGTATGAAGAGGTGGACGAGTCTCAGGTGGAGATCATCCATGTCCCGTCTCCGGCTCTGGAGGAGCGGAAAACAGACGTCTACAGATACCCACATGCAGGTATGAAGACAAGAAAGACTCCATTTGTCTAAAGAACAAGCGTTCGCTATTCTTTGAACAAGATAGACCATGAATGCTCATGTTTTATTTGCAGTAGAGAAATACCAGCAGGTCAAATCCTCAGTAACCAAACATGCAATTAACACCATTTCACATTTCCTTATTTGTTGCTCCTGTTTGTGCATCTAAGATGACATTTGTTAAAAATATTTGTACTAAATGGCTGGACTTTAGCAGGGCTTTTAGTCATACTGGTGTTATAATGCTTTTTGTTTTAACTATCTGTAAGCTGTAACAGTAAATTTTATCCTGTTTGATTTATTTTCAGGCAGTAAAAATCCAGAAATCACTTTGAAGATTGTAGAAATTCGTGCAGACAGTCTTGGAAAGGTGAGTCTTCATTATGTTTTTAATTTAACCCTTTAAATCTAGTCTCTGTGGACTGATGTGTTCATCGACTTTTGGTTGTTCTCCCTCTCAGATTGTCAGCACACAGGAGAAAGTGTTGCCTGTTCCTTTTTCCTGCCTGTTTCCCAACATCGAGTACATCACTGGAGCTGGATGGACTAAAGATGGCCGATAGTAAGTTTGGACTTCAGGAATGAACAATAACATAAAAGTGCTGTAGTCTCATTTTGCCAGGATTTTAAACGTATCTCCTTCTACGTTATAAATAAAATTCCTTTGAGTCACAGGTCTTCTTCTCTGTTTTTGTCAGTGCGTGGGCGGTCATGATGGACCGACGGCAGCAGAATCTGCAGTTAGTCCTGCTCCCTCCTGCACTTTTCATCCCTGCTCAAGAGGACAAAGCTAAAGAACTAGAGAGCCTGCAGGCCCTAGGAGACTCAGTCCATCCCTTCATTATCTACAGAGAAACCAGCGATATCTGGATCAATGTGAGGTCTTAATACCAGCTTTGTTTCATTATCTTTAAGATGAGATTATAATGATGATGTTGAAAAATTGAATGTTGCCGAGAGCAATTCAAAGCAATCCTTAAAGCTATTTTACCCCTTACAGACTCATTTTTTTTAGTAACATTTTTTTGTCAAACTTAAAAGCATTTAGATCATTAAATGAAGTGTTTGAAAACTGAATATAGAATTCAGTTTGTGGTTATTTATTTTCCCCACTTTAAAACCAAAAAAAAACCAACTGCATTTTATATTCAGTTTTGTAATGCACGTATTTGGAAAAAAAAAAAAGAAAACATCCTAATTATTCTGAGCTATTGTGTAAATAATAATTGCTCCTTTAGGCAATCACAAATTAATTAATATTAAAAATACTTTAAAAGTTTTTAAATTTTATTTCATTAGCCAGGTACAAGTGTCTGTCAGTATAAAGTAGGCTAAAAAATCCTTAGATCATGCTCCAGTCAGAACAGATGTGAAACAAATTGACCTTTTTATTGGTTTGAAAAATAATTCCCCAACTATTTCTAGGGCTGTGGGACTCCAGTGACCCACAGTGGGTCATTGTCCACTAATTGAGAAGACATGGAACAGTTATGAGGACTTCCTGTAGCATCTAGTGGACCAAAATCACTCCAACACATACTCCAGCAGGGCATAGTCAAAGTCTGTAAAGAATCTGGTTTACATGCTATTAGGGTTGTCACGATACAAAACTTTTCAAATCAATACCGATACTAAGGAAAATATTCGATACCATTTTCGATACCACAAGGATAAAAACACAAGACTCCAAAATTCTACAGAAATATTTTCATTAATAAATAAAATACAATAAATAAATACAATAAAGGTTGTATGCTGTGCACAATATTAAGCAAGCTTGATAAAAAAACTTATAAAATTAAAATTAAGTGTTCCTTCCTTGGCTATGCTTTGCACACATAACAATGACACTAGCCAAACCGGTTAAGAAACAAAAATAATTCTCAGCAGCTGCACCTGTTACAAAAAAAAAAAAGTCTGAAACTGAAAAGTGCACAGAATTATTCAATCACACACTGTTCTGAAAGTGCATTGTCCTCTATTCTGCACTTAAGATGAATGACTGCTTAGGTGCCACTGGTGGTAGCACTGTATTGATACTTTTAAAAACGAGAATTGTATCTGGATACAACATTTCAGTATCAATACTTTTTTGAGTATTGATACTTTTGACAACCCTACATGCTATTGGTTGACCTTAAATAGGCTGTTCATGTTTGAAAATCCTGTAGTCTGGCTGAATCAAATGAGTTAAGCAAAGATTTATTTTAATAAGTAAGTTTGAACTGAAGTGTTTAAGGATAACAGTAAAAGTGAGGGTGTGAATACTTTCTGCCAGCTCTGTACAAATGTCAGTGTTCTTTTGTGATGCAGGTACACGACATCTTCCATCCTTTCCTCCAAACCTCCGATGACGAGTTCACCTTCATCACAGTAAATGAGTCTAAAACAGGCTTCTGCCACCTGTATAAGATCACATCAGTGTTAAAGCGGGGCAGCAATAACTGGGCTAAAGGATACACTCACTCTGAAGGTAACTCCCTCTAATGTTATAGGCTGCAAAAACTTCCATTTTCATCATGAAATGATGTAAAACCTGTTAAAAACTGGAAGTTTTGTTCATGTTGGATACATATTTTAACTTCTTTAGTAGTTTGAGCCCAATATCATTGGTCATTTTCCCCCTCTGCCCTCAGCTGATTTTAAATGTCCAGTCAAAGAAGAGGTGACGCTAACCAGTGGGGAGTGGGAGGTGCTGGCCAATCATGGAGCAAAGGTGACACCCCACCTGTATACACATAAAACATGGACAATTAATCAAGGCAATATCTTCACTTAGCTGATTAACTGTAATGGATATTGCAGAGATATTTGTACGAACTGTTACTCCTGTCTCACCTGTGAAATATAAACAAGAGTCTTTACCTTTTACTATCTGGTCATTTTCTGATCTAATATCTTTTCTAATACCTCTTTGCTAAATTGTGCTTAGATTAAAGGGAAAATAAGCTGTTAATAGCAGAATTGATCGTCAGGTATTTTGTTCTCTGGTTTTGGTGCAGCGTTCTTGCAGCCCTCAGATTTGGGTGGACGAGCGGGCGAAGCTGGTTTACTTCCAGGGAACCAAAGACTCTCCACTGGAGCACCACCTGTATGTGGTGAGCTATCAGAATCCGGGTGAAATCGTCAGACTCACCAAACCCGGATTCTCCCACAGCTGCTCTGTGAGCCAGGTACGCCCACACCTCCGGGTCACCTCAGTTACATTCAAGTGATATGGGTTTGCATTAGCTAACATTTTAACTGGTGCTTTACTTTTTTATGTTTCATTTGATGGAAATTAAAGGGTTATCTCTATTTAACTCAGTTTCAGAACTTCATTCTATTTCTACAGCACATAAAGGCTAATGAGCGGAAACTGTTCTAAGCTACATAAAATAAACATTCTTCTGTTTACATTCTGTTATACTGTTGGATATTCTACCTTTTTTGTTTCAGTAAACATCTGAGATGTGCTTGATAAACCCTCTCTTGTTTCTCCTTACAGACCTTTGATATGTTTATTAGCCATTATAGCAGTTTAAACACTGCTCCCTCTGTTCACATCTACAAGCTGGTCGGATCCGACCCGCTGCACAAAGAACCAGAGTTCTGGGCCAGCATGATGGAGTCTTCTGGTACTGGACTCTGTTCAGCTTTAATTATTTACCTCAAAGATCCTGTAGTACCATATTTGGAAATGTTTTTTTTAAGCCACATGAGTTTAATTATCTGCTTCTGTGTGTATTTTTTTTTTTTTTAGGTTTCCTCTTTGACACTTCCCCACCAGAAATCTTTAGCTTCACCGGGAAATCAGGCTTCGAGCTCTACGGCATGTTGTACAAACCTCACAACCTGGTCCCCGGAAGGAAGCATCCAACTGTTGTTTTTGTCTATGGAGGTCCTCAGGTTTGAGCCCTTCCACTCTAAAATAAACACCAGAATCAATAGAACAAAGAGGCCTTCTTTGTTCTAGAGTCATCTACAAATTCCCAAAGACTTCTATCCGTACAGCAAATAGTCCTTTTTAATAAAGTGGTTGCCTATGGATATATTTTTGGGCACAGGGGAAAAATAAGTTAGATCCAACCAAATCTGCTTTTATTCCACAACTTTTTATCTTGTTTTGTTTCTGCTTGTTTTTCGGCTCTTTAGAATCAACTTTTAGAAGACTAGGTGAAATAATCTGGAACGCTTTTATTCTGTCTTTGCTTCCTGAGCCCTCCCTATATTTATAACAGTATTTCAGTATTTTTAGAACTTTGTATGAGCTTATGCCCCCTCATCCAAGTCTCAACTCTTTTGGCCCAAACCTATTTCAATTCCTTCACTGAAATCTATGTAACGATATACTAACAGTTAAATCTATTAAACCCTAAGTTCATATTGTCCCTTTCATCACCACATGTTGCTCTAAATGTGGTTCAAACGGTTTTATTCTTCTCAAACTGAGCTGGAGGATATCTAAGATTAAACCTTAAGTGTAAACAGAATTCCTATTCTAAGTTACACTTGAATTAAAACATGATGAAATGATTTTAAAAAACAGATTTCTCGGTAAAAAAAAAAAAAAAAGCAAGAAGTGCGTCTATAAACAGAAATGGACTTTGTTTAGATGACATAGCTGTCTAAAATCAGGAAAATAAGATGCCTAAAATAAATCATATCAATTTTCCTCATAAATTAACGAAAGGTGCTTTTACAGTGTTCGACTGAAGCTAAAGCACACCTGAACAGATGGTTATGAACCAACACTTTAATGGGTCTGTGGTCGACGGAGGTTGCAGGCCAATAATGGAAGCACATGAGTTGTAGTATTCTGTGAAAGCTAACCCTTCTTTGTTTTTATAGGTGCAGTTAGTGAATAACTCCTACAAAGGAGTGAAGTACCTGCGGCTAAGCACGCTAGCTTCTCTGGGTTACGTAGTGCTGGTTATCGATGGAAGGGGCTCCTGCCAGCGAGGACTCAAGTTTGAAGGAGCTGTAAAGGACAAGATGGTAGGAGATCATTTAAAAAACAGAACTCTTTCCAGTTTTTTTATGTAGCTCATTGTTCAATATGTATGCAGACTTAATGTACAATAACTAAAAGATTTCATTGAAAATAGTGAGTAAAGGCTGTTGTTTTCCATCCAGGGTCAGGTGGAAATTGAAGACCAGGTGGAGGGATTGCACTACATAGCTGACAAGTATAAGTTTGTGGACCTGAGCCGCGTTGCCATCCACGGCTGGTCGTATGGAGGCTTTCTGTCCCTCATGGGCCTCATCCACAGACCAGACATATTTAAGGTTAAAAAATAAATAAATATTTCAGTTTTTACTGGGAATAACTACAGAAAAAGAATAATATTTTAGTGAATTTTCACTTAAGTTCTTTGCTATCAAATATGTTTAAGGCTTCTATTTTTGACATGATGTTTAGGTTTATTTTATGTGTTTATTAGGTTGCCATTGCGGGAGCTCCAGTGACGCTGTGGATGGCCTACGACACTGGCTACACAGAGCGATATCTGGACACGCCGGACAAAAACCTGAAGGGATATGAAGCCTGCTCTGTCGCCCTGCATGTCGACAAGCTTCCAAATGAGTGAGAGCTCCTAATATAAATAACAGCTTTTTATGTTTTATGCCTCAATGAGCCAACATCTTACACTCATGATTATCATGAATTACTTGTTTCTGCCATCTGAAAATAAACATGACCAAACCTCACTGACCTAGATTAAGCCTTTATGAGTACATTAGCTTCTCACCTTCAACAGAGAAATATTTTAACACAGACTTCTAATAATTTATTTGTTTTTATTAAAAATGTTTCATTTGACATTTTTTTGACAATTGGTTTATATGATAAAGTTGGTGTTTATTTTACCTGAGCTCAACCACTATTGGTAACCACTGCTGCCAACAAGTCTGAATGTGAGTAAAACACCAGGTGATGACTGGCTTTCTCTGTATAATTCAGGCCAAACCGACTGCTGATCCTGCATGGATTCCTAGATGAGAATGTGCACTTTTTCCACACTAATTTCCTGGTGTCGCAGCTCATCAGAGCAGGAAAGCCGTACAGCCTTCAGGTAGGTTGATGGGTTGAAGTAAGTTGATGTTTGTTAGAACTCTGAAAAATGCTTTCAGAAGACAAAGTCTGGAAATTGCCAGCTTTAAAAAGAAACATATTGGAAAGATCTACGTATGCTGATGAAGATTCTAAGTCATCCAGATCATAGTCATTCCGTAAAAGTTCAAAAAATATCCACTGGACTTGGTTTCCGAGATTTGAAGACGTTTCGCCACCTCTCCAGGAAGCTTTCTCAATTCAAATTTCTCAATTCATATTAGAAAGCTTCCTGGAGAGGTGGCGAAACGTCTTCAAATCTCGGAAACCAAGTCCAGTGGATATTTTTTGAACTTTTACGGAATGAAAGATCTACATGTTCACTCTTGACATAGATGGATACATACGTACATGCATACACAAACACACGTTTGTTCTGCTATATGTAGTGACGACCATGTGTTGACACCTTAGCCCTAAATCTAACCATTAGAAAAATACCTCGTGAGGACCATCAAAATGTCCTCACTTTACAACAACTGGTCCTCATCGTGATGGTGGAATTGGAAAAATGGCCCGATAACAAAGATAAAAAAACATATAAAATAGGGATAAAAAAAAAAACTCCCCTCAAAATTAGATTAAAAATATAATAATAATAACAAAACTCAGTCTTTCAAGAGGCATTAAATTGTCTAATGTCGGTCGGGACAAAAGATCTTCTGGATCTCTTCGTACTTCTTCTCACAGAGATCACTGTGGAACTGTGGCTGCTTTCCTGAGCCACCATAGTGCTGTTCAATGGATGGCTCCCATCGGCCCTTATGGACTTAATCATTGACCTAGTCCTTTTCTCCACCAGTTCTTCCATAGGGACCACCTCCCTCCCATCACTGCCACACACTCCCTAATGAACTTGTCTATTCTGCTCCTGTCCCTGCTAGTAATGCTGTTTCCCAAGCTGACAACAGCAAACAAAACTGCACTGGCATTTACTTAATCCATTCTACTATTTCTAAATCTTGGTTCTTCTATCCATCCAGATCAATTTAGACAGGTTTTGTATTGAAAGCTTGATGTCGAATGCTTTACATTTGTTGCACACTTGCAAATTTATACTTATAAATGTTTTTAAAAAATGAGCAGACTCTTTGCTGATTTTAGTTTAGTTGATCTGTCAGTTTGGGAACAATATACCTCTTGGCACTAGGCCTGTTTTCAAGAAATATGCTTGAAAATAACATGCCCAAAATGAATTGAATATATCTCAAGAACTACAGAGTTTATTTTCATTGTTTTGGTATCAAAATAAAGGCAAGACCCCAGAGAATATGTTACAGGTCTAAAAACCATCTTGGGGCGAGTGCTCTTGTTATGAAAAGGTTAAAAGTTTGTTGTCCAAGTAGGATTATACATTTCCGATTCTTCTTAATAACGTTAATCTTTTTTTTAAAATGGTGTCGTTGAAGTACATTTCTGTTGAATAAAATAAGACGAACAAAAGCATCCATTTTTCCCTGTTTCTCCAGATTTATCCCAACGAACGGCACAGCATCCGGTGTCCAGAGTCCGGGGAGCATTATGAGATTAGTCTGCTGCACTTCCTCCAGCAGAACCTCTGATAAGTCTTTCCAACACCGGCTGACCTTCACCTCCTATCCTCTTCTCACTCCTCACTTTTTATCCAAACCTGCTTCACCTCTTTACTTGATTTTATGATCAGCTGAATGAAATCTACACCGAACCTCATCACACCTCAAGAATCATTCACCGTTATTAAAGTCGCAGCAGCATTTTTATCATCGAAATTCTGCTGCAGAATCGGCTGTTTAGGATGAATACGAGACTCTGTTCATACCTTCGGTTGCCTTTCATGTTGGATTTAGAACAAACTAGATGTTGAACAGTTGTATTAAGCTCTGACACCAGCAGAGGTCGCTGTTCACCCCGAAAATTGCACAAAGCTTTTGCTTAGGGCAGAAATTTAAGAACAGGAGTACATTTTGATGTTTAAAATGCTGCTTTGTGTACCATACAAAAAAAAAAAAAAAAGATATAAACATATATAGATGGACCAGTTTTACACTGTTTTGAAATAGATTTGTGTTTTTTGTTTGGTGCCATTTATTTTAGCAGCTGGTTTCTGTAATTCAACATGGAACTTGCTGTTCTGTCTTTGAATATAAAGTGATGTAAATTCACCAAACATGAAGCTCTTTTAAAGCAGGCAAACAGCTCTTAAACCCCCTCCCCTCCCCTGGTTGCTGACTTTGCTGTGTTTTGCCTTGATATTTGTCTCTCATGTGCTACCTGTCACAGGATATTTTTTATGCAGTTATTCCAGAAAATAAATTAGTTCCACCTTTTAATGGGTCCTATTATTTAAAGAAATCTTTTAGAAATGGTGGAAGTTATCTGGGACCTGATCACTGGCTTTAACTTCTTGAAGAGTTTTTTTTTTTTCCTTTCTGCTGCTGAGGACTTTTTGCACAGTACATTATATTTACCTTTGTGCCAAGAAACTGACCTAAAAGATGATGTTTGAGACGAATGTGGTGCCTTGTAAGAGTTTGAGCACCTGCTCACATTTCAATAAATCAGGGAATCAGTCAGAAGACTCGACATCAGTTTGAGTCTTACGCCTTGTTATCATCTACTGAACTACATGGTTATAAATGTACTCTCAGTTATTGAAGAAATAAACTGAAGTGAACAATTTTTTTCCCCCCAAACTCTTGTAATTTTTTTTTTTATTTCATGTTAAAGAGCTTTCATATTGCACCTTCGGCACAATGTTACTGCACACATCTATTCACTGTCTTTTGCAATGGGTTCTCCATTCTTATGCATAATAATTCATAAAATCCAAACCTTAGGGTCAAATAAAGCAAGTTTCTTCCAGACAGTGTAAGACATGTGAAAGTTTTTTGAGAATCAGAAGCGTCTTTTTTTTCTTCGTTTTTTTTTATTTGGGAGCATCTTTCTATTTTCTTGTTTTGTTAGAAAATTTAACTAGAACCAGTTTTATATTTAAATAGTTTAAACCTTCCAATATCCTTTGAATAAAAAAAAAAGCTATGAAAAGTTGCTTAATGCTGTTTCAAAAAAGTTGAAATATAGCTTAATGCTATATTTTTACTTTCAGTCGTGGAAATAGAAAATAAAATAATAAATAATTTTATTTTCAATTTAACAGGTTCAGTTTTATTTATTCAAATAAAAAAACAACATAGTTCAATCAAATATTTAAGATAAAAAAATATATTAAATAAGTGAGTAATTAAAGGAAATATAAAACATGGTAAGAAAGCCCTCACAAAGGGGAATAAGGTCCCAGCCAACATGACCAAACATTTCCGCTGAGACTTCATTTTCTTGTATGCATTGCATAGAAATATCAGATGACCCGTGCGTGCATCGGGAGACATCAGTTGTGCGTTTTGCAGCTTATTTCCAGTCTGTCAGTAGTTAAACTCCCAGAAGTTATCTGGGTTTCAGTGCTGCTCCAGCTCTTATTGTGTCATTGAAAGTGGAGCAATCTTCAGAAGAGTGGTCCTGAGGGGGCCGCTGTGTCCCTGCGTGAGCGTCCCAAACATGGCCTGTCTCCTTGGCTCCTGCTTCCAGTGGCGTCTGGGATACTTTCCATTCAGATTCGATTCTCCGCAGCTGCTAAACCACCAACCGCCTGCAAAAACACAAACCCAAAACAGTTTAGTTCCAGTTTGTGAATAGATTTGGTGAATGTTTGTCAGGGCTTTCCAGACATGTTTCTGTACCTGAAAGCTTCTCGGCGCAGTTGATCTCTGCAGCCAGGTCGTTATCTCTGTCAGCTGTAGAGAAGGGAAGGCCTGATTCCCCAGTGGACACGATTCTCTGCTGAGTCTCAGGCGAAGGGTCCTGCACAAGGTGCAAGGCAAACATCTTCTCCTCTCCGTCAAGCTGGAATTGGTAACGAGCAACCTGCTGCTGTCCCGCCTCGTTGGAGAGCTCCACCTGCAGGACGTAGCGGCCTTGCTTCGAAAGAGAATGGATATTGGACAAACCGAGCCAGAACTCTCCTGAAAGATAAAAGAGGAAAAATTAGTTTTGAATGTTGGGAAAATTCAATAAAGTAACTTTTTACTTTTTTTAAAGGAAGCTTCAAACTCACCATTCAAGTTGCCAAAGCCTTTTCTGTAGCTCTCCCAAAGCTGATTGAAGTTTTGTGATCCATCCTGGCGTTTCTGGATGACAGTCCATCCGCCAGCTGCAGAGAGCAGGAAAACCCTTCAGTTTGACTTGTTCCCATGTGTGAATGTCTTCTTAGACAAATTGGATTCAGAAATGAAGTAAGCCAGCTCACCTGGAGTCATTTCACAGAGAACACTGAAGGGTTTTGAGTTCTCAGGCTGGATTGTGTAGATGCCAGTTGTTCGTTGTCCTCGGGCAAATAGATCCTGACAATCTCTGGCCAACCCTGCAAATAATAAAAACATAAGATGAGTCATATTGTTTTGTTTAAAATGCTGCTGCCCTGGTTTTCTCTGATCTTTGCACTGTAAGTTATGATGGCTGGCATAGTTGATGACAAAGTGCAAAGGTGGACACTTCTAGACTCTGCAGTCTGTTAATAGCTTTTGTGCTTGTTCTAACAACTGACTTACGAAATGTCTACAGATAAATGCATTTTAAATCTTTGTGGATGTTTTTTCCAGTTAATATTGTAGAACAAGTGAGGTTTACCTAAATTGTTTTTTGAAATGGGCTAAAAACAGTAGAAATGTTACCTGCTTCAGCTTGGTTGTTCTCTGCCTCGCCTCTTAGTGCCATCTCTTCATCTCTGCGTCTGTGGGATTTCATTCTCTTATTGGCAACCTTTAAAAAAAAATGTGACAACAGATTAAAAACCTTACATTTGTCTAAGGTTACAAAGTTGTAATTTCTTTAGTTATTTTTTTAGATGTCTCACCTTGTTCTGCAGGACTTGCAGGTGGAGACTCTGTTTCTCCAGTTTGTCTTGCTGTTGTGAGATTTTCTCCACCAGCTGATCGATACGCCTGTTCTGAGCAATCATCAGCCTCTGGAGATGAGGGTAAGGGGATGTTTAGATCGTGTTCAGACCCAGCTACAGATGCTCATCCACAGATGATTTGTAGTAAAAGCTCATATTCTTTGCATTTAGACATGAACTCACCTGGATGAATGAAACCCTCTCATGGTCGCTGTCATTGCTGTCCACCATTGGCTTTGTCAGCACCTCCTCCAGTCTGTCTATCCTGGATGTTAAGTCCTCTGTCTGCCTCTTCACCTCCCCCACCTCCACCTTCACCCCCTCTCCCAGTTCGACCAGCAGCCTTTGCATCCCCTGTCCCTCTTTGCTCTGGGTAATCAAAGCTTCTCCCTGCTCTTCCTGCTTTCTCTCCAGTTCGGCCACGGTGCCATTGAAGGCCTTCAGCCTGCTGTTCATGTCTCTCATCTGAGCCTTGGTCTTGTCCACGTGCTCCTTCAGGCCCTGGCCGAGCTGCAGGAGGCCATGGGCCACCACGTTTACGTCGTCCCAGGATGCATGCTTCTCCCGGCGGTTCCTGTCTGTAGGGAAGCCGGATCCTGCTTGCACCAGGATGGTCAGCAGAAGGACGATAAGTTTGGGCATCTTCATCTTTGTTCTCTTTGTATTGTTTTAAATTCAGCGCTTCTTTTTTTTTTTTTTTATCCTCTTCAGTTGTGTGCTGCTGAATGGCATACACACGCTTTTATAGCTCTGAGCTGAAGTCGAGGGTTTGCTTGATTGGTTGCTCCAAGATGGAGGAGGAGGAGGAGGAGGAGGAGGGAGGCCCAGAGGCGGGGAAAGCCCTTCATAGTGAGGAGCTCAGCTATGATGCAATGAAACAACTGAGTTACTGGTTGATCAGATCTATGATAAGCTCTAATCTTCAAATATTTATTTTTATTACGTTATTTATTTTATGCTAATTTAACTTTTTCAAAGTTCAGAGAGAGGCAGAAATGAGAAACCTCATTACATTAATATCCTACATAAAAAAAAGAGACAAATTCCAGATAAGTCTCTTGTAGTTTAAGAACACGAGCAGCCTATGAGAAATTACAGCAATTCCTCCTTAACTCAAATCCAAGAGATTTCATTTATCTGTCTCAGCCTAATCGCCGTATGCAGTCATCAGCAACATGCACTCTTTCCGCCCCCCCCCCCCCCCCCCCCCCCCCCCCGCCCCCCTCAGATAAACTCACTTTAACATCCATAAAAGACTGCAGACAGATAGCATCCATTGATTAATGACCCCTTGAGTCAAAACACTTTACAGCTGAGGATTGCAGTTTATCTCGTAGGGAGAAAGCAGACTGAACGATTGAACGAAGGAAGAAGCGTGCATTTGGAGTCGGTGTGAGAAGTAGGGGATAGTTCAACCCTCAGGCCTTTTTACTCACTGGTTCCTGACAGCCAAATCCTACAATTATACACCCACACTCCCAGCCATGCCTTCTGCATGTGTTTTTCCTGACTAACAGAATCACAAAGGCATGCAGACTTCGTGTTTTTGACAAGTTGTTACTGGAATATTCCTATGTGATTGAATGTTCACTTTACAAAGGTTATCCAACATAACCTGATCAGGTAAATAGTTTTAGTTGCCAATCATCTTTAAAACACTTCATTGAATTTCACTCACTGGTTTGTGTAAAAGCTGATATTAATGTAAAAATGTATCATTTAGGCTTATGTCCCAACAACATTTTTAATACTTATATTTTCCACTTGTAAATTTTTCTTTAGAAATTGATCTGGGTACAGAGGAAGTAGCTTTGTCCAAGTAAAATGTAGAAAAATCCAAGAACCCCAACAGAGGTGACATTTTACTGGATATGATAACTAAAACTCCATCCTGGAGATGAGATATTTTAGAGAAAAATAGTCTGTGGAACCAAATTATGGAGTCACCATAGATGAGTTCATTGAGGTCAAAGTTGAAATAACACAAAAACAGCGTGTTGTTATGACGAGAAACAAGTTTTTCTGCTATTGTTTTCGATTTGTGACCAAACACACACTTTACAGATAGCAACAGTCACACGATCACTTTACTTTTAATAAGAAAGCTGAAAATATTCCCTTCCCCCTTTCTTCCTTAAACAATCCTGGAGTTTCTTTTATTCTCCAGTCATTTTAGTCAATACTTTTTCAACCTTGATTTTTTTTTTTCAAATATCCGACAGTTTTTCTGGCTTTTTATTTGCCAGATTTCAGTTTAATGCGCTATTTCTAACATAACTTATTTGACTTTCTTTTTTTTCCCCCCTTTGCTCAGGGATCAAGGTGGTTATTTTTATTGCTAAGACAATAATCCAGACATGCAAAACAAAAACTTCATTACATGGCTTCCAAAATAAAAGCCCTAACTTGTGGAAGAGTGGTAATTAGGTCTACTGTAGAATCACAAACGTATTCTTGTGTGGATGTTGTGTTAATGACTGATGCCAAAAAGTGTAAGAGAAGTCTCCAGTTTATTGATTTATGTGGCAATTGGAAGGAAAAAAGTTAGAAAAAATGCTGATTGAGGTTGTTGTCTTGGAGATCAAACCAACCGGAACCTTAATGGATTTAAAAGTATTCTGTGTTGGGGCCAGTCTGTCTGAATTTAACCAAAATAGGGGGAGAAACCCCTTATGTTTTTTTTGTTTCTACAGGTTCTGTCCAACAGCTTTGTCTCCAGCCTAAACCTCGTTTTCTGAGCAAGCCGTACAGGTAATGTCCAAGTCTCATTTGACTCCATCCAATCAGCTTCTTTCTATTGATCATGTGGTCTAAATACCCTACAGCTCCCCCAATATAGCTGGCAAAAAGTTATACACAGGTGTTTTATTTGTCATGACTAAAACAGACTTTTCCCCATGGCTGTGATAAAAACTGGTGTAAGAACACAAATACCAGCAGCAAATTACTACTATATTGAGAATAAAATTTTAGCTCTTTTTCTTAAAATGGTTTTATTCATTTTATTCATCGGGCTAAGGCATGTAAACACGCATTGGGAACCAAACTGATTATTTTAACTGACAGAATGAATTTACAGCAAGAACAGTGGTATAAGCAATCTTCTTACCTGTTAAACTTCATGCTTGAAAACAACAAATGCGGTGATCTGATCGTCTGGCTGTTTACTGCCTGCTTAAGGTGTTTTTTTCTAATAATGTCATAAACTGCATTACTAAGTTTTAGGATGGTCTCCCCCTTAAATTCAAGAGTCTAATCATTTCAGAATCATTTAGCAAAATGTGGTTCCAATAGTGTTTTTGTTTGTAAGAAGATTTTTTCTGTTTCTTGCACAGCTGATCTTTGTTACAAGATTGTTATCTCCTTTCATTTTCTTTGTGTTTAATAAGCAACCACTCCTCCATTCTCACAAAAGGTTTGGCTACAAAACCCCTTTTTTTTTCCTCCTAAAGAACATTTTAGATTTCCTACTTGCGTTAAAAGATATGATTTGCTTTATCTATGCATCATATTTTACATTTCTGGCCTTTGAGGCTGGGTATTAAGTTAGCTTTTTAAAACTAAGAAAAGTGGAGAAGCTTAAAGCCTAAAAAGCTTCCTTTAGAAAATAAATACCAAGGGTCACATCGGTTACCAAACCCCATAGACAAAAACACATTCAGTATTAAGTTACTGAACAGAAAGTCAGTGAAGTTCAGCTGGAGTTGAAGGAAAGCCTTCCTGAACAACTACTGATGAGGCAGAAGTAGAAAAAGAATCCTGAGTTTGACACAGGACAGTAGTAAAAAGAGGTAATCAGATAAAAGCAATTGCAACGTGAAGGGTAGACACCTCTTTACTTGTTTCGACATGTTAACACCTAATGTCAGTTACCAGTTTGCAGGGGGTAAAAAGTTTTTGTTTTCACTTTTGGAACATTGCAGCTCCTGCTGTTGTTTCAGTGCACGTACTGCTGCGTGCTGACTGCTGCAGCTCTGCACGTACCTCCTCGAACCTGCTGCCCTCAGCCAATGCTAGGCAGGGCTCCAAATGTGTTCAACAGAATTTCTGCGTCAGGAGTCACTTTTCCAATCCCAGCTGTGTCAGAACACAATGTTCGTCTGCAATTATGAGGAACCTGAGCTTAGTTACAGAACAGCTGCTTCCTTCTAGAGCTGCAGAGCCTGAAAATCATTAAATCAAACCTGGACATTGTTTTTTTTTTCTTTTTTAACCATGAGCTAAATCACAGGATATTTAACCTCTTCTCTTGTTTTCATCAATATTGTGATGAAGCATTTCTCAAAATAGTGTGATTTTTATTGTAAAATATACAGATTTATTTTTTCATTGTTTTCCAGCTCTATGAATACTTCACTCCAAAACATTTTATATTTCATTGACGCCCCTTCAGGTACAGAAGCAGCAAAGAAGCCCTGCACAGTGGAGCAGTGGGTACCACTGTTGCCTTGCAGTAAGAAGGTTCTCTGTTCTATTCCTGGGTTGGGGTCTTTCTGCATGGAGTATGCTTCTACTCCCCGTTCATGCCTGGGTTCTCTCTGGGTACTCTAGCTTCCTCCCACAGTCCAAAACTACTGGCTAACTGTTCTTAGGAGTCAGTGTGTGTTTTTGCATGGTTTTGTATCTTTGTGTGTCTGTGTTGCCATGCGATGGACTGGCGACCTGTCCAGGGTGTACTCCACCTCTTGTCCATAAACAGCCCCACCGAAACCCTGACAAGGACTAAGCAGGAAAAAATGGATGGAGTATCTTTTACCCTACTTTAGCCAATGGCTTTATTTCTGTGATGTCTGGGTTCTGCATGGCTGTTGATTAAACTTCGGTTGACCACAGCTTGTTTTAATAGCATAAGAACAGGAATCGTGATTTCTTTTTTTCTATTCACAGGTAGCCACAGTGGTTCCGGTTTTTCCCAGATAGATTAAAGTATAGAAACTTCCCTGCATATTTACTCTTCTTTCCCTTAAATTGCATGTTTCTGAATTATCTAAAATCTTTAATTTCAGTGAAGAAAAGCCTAGAGTAGCATTATTATGGTAAAGAACATTTCAGATCCGTTCATTGGTGCTTCCCTTTTCTCAGTGACAGCAGCATTGTGTTTTGTAGACTGGATCTGACTCAGAGAGCTAATCTCAGGGCCAGGACAGGCACATGCTGGACGTGCGCTGCTCCTTGTAAACAATGGACCACATCTCTGTTAAAACACTGAGTTACTCATTTCCTCACGATGACAGGATTCTGTTTTTAAAGATTTCCTGCTCACCATATGGACTTTTCAGGGTTTGTTAGGTTGTTTTAATTCCAACTTTTTTCACTTATAAAATCCAAAAGCAACACAGTCAAAAAAAATAAAGACAAAAAAATAAATAAATAAAAAAAATGTAGGAAGAAGCATGTCACGGAGGGATTTCAGTTTTCTCCTGGGGATATTACTGCAAACATTGATCAAAAATTGAACACATATTCCTACTAATTATTATTGGACTGTATATCAGTTTACACCTACGTGAATAGAGGAAAACGTGTGTAAATGTAAAACATTAGAGAAACAGTTTGTTGTGTTTAGGAGTCACACAAAAATCATGCATCCTCTCTAAATGTTTATAACGCTATTAACTGCCAGAGTTCAGGTTCTGGAATGGATCACTCCCAGATGCTGAAAGGGACCACAGGACCAAATCCTGGCACAGCAGGATGTGACAAAGAGAAGAGCGTTTGGGTAGAAGAAGGAGGAGGCTGCAAAGATGAAAGAGTTTGATAATGTCACATTGGGAAACCTGGAGTAGTAAAACACCAAAGTAGCGACAAAAACCTCAGAACCTTTGGAGTTTTGTGTGGTAAATGGGATGGCGGAAGAAGTGGATGATCTGCTTTTGGTTCAGACCGATCGATAAGGCAGACTTTACTCATGTTTTTTTTGTCTCAATCAGGGCAAATTTGAACCATTAGGGGAGGGTGGGGAAGGTTGCAGTAGTTTTTTTTTTTTCCTCAATTTCTCACATGCTACTTGGGTTTTAATGCCAATATTTTAACAACAGTAATTTCACGTCTGTCCCCTTCACACCCATTTATAAGCCTGATGTAAAGCAAGTACTGTGGTTAAACAGAGATCACCAGATGTCAAATTATTAGCTTATACAACTATTTCACAACAATTTGACTTGAACATTTGACCTTTTCATGTCTCGTAGTGTAGTTCTGGAAAAAAAAAAAACTGAAGAAATTATAAAGAATATCCCCTAACTTAACCTGACTCTGCCAGATGGATTTGCTCCGCATATCCATCTGGAAACCTTCTGTTGAAGTAATTTTGGGAAGGGGCGAAAATACTGGTTAGCTGATTGGCCTATGTTGGTGATAGATGGGCCAAATAAACCAATCAGATCAACGAAGCATATGATGTACTAACAGAGCAACGACGAAAACACAACAACGAGCCGGGCTACTCTTGCTGATACCAGTCGGGAGAAGAGCAAAAACATCTTTTCCTCTGAGAAAAGCCTCCAGAGCAGTGTTTTGCTCTTCTTTCAGTGAAGAAATACTCTGTAATTCCGATAAAACTTGCTTGATAGCCACGCTAACGCTAGTTTCATCGGTTGAAGCCGCCATGTTCTTTAGACTGAACTGTCGCGCTTCTCATTGCGTCACACCTCAACCCGCCTCAAAGCCAACGCTGATTGGACGTTCGTTTGGTGAACGGCTCCACATTTTGTTTTAACGGAGAGTCTCCAGACTGATCTGTGAGTGAAACCTTGAAAGCTCGCAAGATCAGGATGGTCTCCCGAGGCTACCCCTAACTCTGATTGAGAGATCAATTTGATTAATTTGCAATCCTTGTGTTCCAACTAACCCTTACCCCTATTACCAACTTTAAATTAGCTTTGCTTGATTAAAAAGTTTGTTTTAGCATGTAACCCTGACAATAACATCAACAAAATATTCTAAAATTTGGTTTTGCAAGCAATATCCTAACTTCCCATCCTGCTCAGTTTCTGTGTCAAAGTTCAAATGTAGATGCTACGTTATTTAGGTCTGAATTTTAAAGATTATGTTTATAGTATGGAGATAAACTGCTACATTATCAGCTCCTAGTGACACTGGCTGTCTGATAAAATATAATAATCTTTTTATTCAAAAACCAAACACCTCACTACAGTCAGTTTGATGTTATTTTAAACATCCTGAAACTTTCCTGGAATGTCTGTGATTTATGACGGGAGACCTGTACGGATTACAACAACACAGCCTGTTCTCGCATGCACATGGGCCTGCATGTATTTCCACAACGAGAGAGTAAGCCCTGTGGAGGTTTGGAGTTTAACAGAAACCCTATGGTTAGTGTGTGAAAGGTCGGGCTGCTGTTACGTGGCTGGTATGTTGCATCAGCCCCTCCAGCAGAAAATACCCTTGGACCGTGTTTGGAATCTGGCGTGCACAGCTGTGGGGCCGGAATGGCACAAAGAGACCCCCTAACCAGAGAAATGCAAGCACAGAGGGGCTGCTGATGGGTCAGAGTATTTTTAACTGCTGTCGAGATTCTGAACCTCTGATGGTTCTGTAGGAATGATCCTCATAGAGAAAACACCAAACAGCTTAAAGAGGAAACCATGAGAGGAAAACCCCAAACCGGCAGGATTTTATGATATATTTGGAAAGAAAAGAAAATGGTGGAGGGGCTGCTAAAAATTGGTTAGTAATGTGATGGAAACCTGTTTTATATTTAAAGTATAAATGCATAAATATCAGCATCCTATAGAAATTAGATTGAGTAGAAATTATCTGTTTTATAGTTAAATTACACCCAGTTTGATTCACAGCTTTCATTTAAACCATTTTCAGTAGACTTTTTTTTAAATGAAATTTTATGGCTCCTTTAATAAAATAGAATATTACAGAAATATTTGAATATATAAACGCTATCTTGAAGTGATATTATAGGTAAAACTGCAGAGTCTACTAATGTCCAGCAGAGAGTCATGGATGAAAAAACATGCTTGGAGAAAAAAAGTGCAGAAGGGTTGAATAAAGTTACTGGATTTAGATGTTTGTAAAGAAATACACAATATTATGGGGGAGAATCCTAATGGTTGGATGTGGTGGAGTCAACAGCTCAGTTAAGCCGCCTCCAAATGAAAAACCCAGAGGAGTCTTACCTTAGCAAAGAAGAGAAAGAGCTAGACATGGTTAAAGTAATTAGAAAAAAAAGCTTTTCTTTAATCCCTTTTGGAGGGATATCATGGTCTCAGATTCTGGACAAAGAGTGAAGAGGCAAAGAATGCACATTACTGGAAGTCCTGGGTTATATGATGATTTTGGAAGCATATCATCTGCTTTAGACATTTAGGATCCAGTGTGTGTTATGAAGATTAAAGTCAGAAAAGATGTCTACCAGAAAAGATTCTACAAAGCTCCCCTCTCCACCAAAAATCAACAACCTGCTTTAATGACCATTGTATCACTATTTGATTGGCCAGCAAACCACCCTGACCTGAAACATACAAAACATTCATGGGACTATCATGAAGAGGGAGATTAGAGACACCAGAGAAGCTAAAGGCCACTACTAAAAAAAACAAAGAAACTCCCACTTCCTGGCTTCCTGAACACATGCAGATGATTTCCTGCACTACAACCTATAATTTAGACATCCTTAAAAACAGAGGACTCAGTCCCTCCTGACTTTATTTCAGAGTAATTGCATTTTTTAGACAACTTTAGATCCAATAACTGCATGATGAGAATTTATGTGTAAACTAGTTACATTTAAATAAAACCTTAGATTACTGCATGAAATCTCAACCTCACAATCCTTATTTTTTATTTTGTTTTGTTTTGTTTTAGGGGTTTAAACATGGCTTCCTATACAGTACATGACCTTTTTCAATGAAACACTAGCCGTATTACCCTTTAAGCCAAACTCTTTTACTGATGGGAATCAGGGAGATTGGAGACCTTTTTGGGAAGATGTGACATTTATGTCATTTTTATATAAACATCTACAATATCATGTTGTATTCATTCATGTCGTCCATTGTATACTTTTAGCATTGAATTAGTAAAAAAAAAAAAGTAAAAATGAAGTACAAAAGTGACCTTACTAATAAGAATAACAGGATAAAATGATCTCAAAGACATTGAATACTGTTGCTTTAGTTCTGGTTATCAACTAAAAGCAAAGGGTCAGAATCTGATCTTTTCTGTTCATCAAATCTGGTTTTTAATCCTTCATTAGAAAGTCATAAGACATCTTTATCACTTTATCACACCGTTGGAAAGATGTGAGGAATCCTTATCTTCACCTCAAGCAATAAAATGAGGCAAATCTTCAGCAGAATTTGTGTATTTTTTTGTCCTGTTCTCCCCTCCAACAATGGAGGTTTGTTTTCTAAATCAGTCTTTATTTTAAACTGTACTTCAGGTTTTTTCCCCAACATCTTATTTTCACGTCACAGTTCTTGGCCGTGCAGCAAAGTGGGTGAAAGGTTGTGCTCGTGCACGGCTCATGTGTGCTACACTGATGTCACGAGGAACTCAATAGCAGCTGGTATTTACAATCCAGAGGCTGATACGCCATCCTTTCTCTTCCATCATGCTGACCTTTTACCCAGTTTCCTCCACTCCTAAAGCATCTGCATCTCCATGTTTCTCCTCCTCCTCCTCCTGTCGTCCTACTTTTCGTTACAGTCTGCCGTTGAACTTTCACCTAGAGAGAAAAGATGTTTCCCTGAGGCATCTTCTAATAGCTGCGGAATTTGTAAGCTAAAGGTTGTTGATGTGTTTATGGCTCAAACTACTGGT